ACGAATTCTCAAGTTTATCAAAGCTTTGGCTATTCGTAAATTTAACCCCTTTTTATGTGTACAAAAACAATTTGTCGTAACCTTGAATTTACTTTGGTAATCCTTAAGTCATTCTATGGCCTAGGATAACATGATAATTTCTTATTCTTTCTATAAGATATAAAATTGTTTCTCTCCCCATTGTCACCTTTCTACTTGAACTTTCATTTAATTGACCTTTATTAATTTTCATATAAAAACGCCCTGACAAGTATATGTGTGACCAGATTGTTCGAAATTATGGCCCAAATACATCACATTATTCATATGAACTGTCTTCTCATGATGTTATCGAAATTTAATTTTTACTGTATATCAATAGTTGAAATCATGAGTCCATTGAAGCTAGACCACCATGGAAAACCTGCAAGTACTGAAGGCCGTTTCGACCTAGTATGGGACTCCTCAGCAGTGAGCATCCACGATCCCGCCCCTCGCAAGATTTGAACTTAGAATCTGTCACTTTTGCGCGCGGGCGCTTAACCATTAGACCACTGAGCCGGTATCTAACGGTGTTAATGTTTAGCTTCAACCAATCCACTGTATATAAAAGAAAAATAATGATAAGAAGAGAAAATCACACATCACATTTCCCCAAAATAATTAACATAGAAACATTGATTATTATCATCCATTCTGCTACTACCGTAGTCCCATTAAAATACGTCAATAATATTTCAAATTTCTTTGGTCTTTGCTTTACTTTAGTATAAACAAAAATAAATAACTAATGTTGATGAGATTAATAATCAGACATGTATATTTCCTCTTTCCCTGACCATGATGCATTATATATAGATACATGTACATTGTTTTGTCTGTCATATAGTACACAGTGTATTATATTGTCAGTAAAATAAACAGACAATAAAGCTGGAGGTGTTAGTCAGTTGGTTATTAATTCATGAATAATCGACAAGACAATGATTCATCAAGTAAGCTTGCAAAATATATTACTGTTCGGTAAACATTTTGACATAACATTTGTAAGATGTAAATTAACATTATATAAAGAATACATACCTTCGTGTGCTTGTATGTGTATTTAACCAGCGATCTCAATTGACAGATAATTGAAAAATTATTTCATTTCAGTTAGAGTTTCATTGTTTGTATAATGTTAACATAGAATATAACTTCAACTTGTTGAAAACCATAAATATAGATAGACAAATAATGCTTCTGTAGAATGTGCTGTCATTATGAATATAACAGATATAGAAACTTTAATAGTTGAAATCATAAATCAATTAAAGCTAGGCCACCATAGAAAATCTGGAAGCACTGGATGATCGTTTTTTCCTATTGTGGGACTCACGAGCAGTGAGCATCCACGGTCCCGTCTTGTGACATTCGAACCTGGGTCTGTTGTGATATAGTGACTCACTGAAGATAATGGTGGATGTGTCACTCAATTTCGTGGATTAGTTGAAGTTAAACATTAATACCGTTGGATACCAGCTCGGTGGTCTAGAGGTTAAGCGTTCGCGCGAGAGACCGATAGATCCTGTGTCCGAGTCACGCAGGGGGCAGCATCTTCGATGCTCACTGCTGAGGAGTCCCATACCAGTATGAAACGGCCTTCCAGTGCTTGCAGGTTTACTATGGTGGTTTAGCTTCAATTGACTCATGATTTCAACTATTAAAAAAGTTACTATAATATCCACAAAACCCCTTCTGGTACAGATATAGAAACGTCAAATACTAGCTATTATGAAAAAAATCTTAAGAACAAGATGTTTTTTTTTAAGATTATAAGCTACTAACGACGTCTGTTACCAGCTGGTGAATTACATATGAATAGAAGTATGCAGAATTTTAGAAAGTAAGCGTATGTTCGTTACTTTAGCTTTGAACGGAAAAAGATTTAGTTTTTATTATTATTGTTATGTGGTCGATATAAGTTGTCCAGTTAGTGGAAGTTGAGATAAATATTCAAAATGTAACCTACACAATAAATATCATTAAAGATATAAAGAATTGGAAATCGACTTAATTTCATTGTTTATAACATAATAAAAGTGAATAAACCAGAAGAATGTTGAAAGGAGCATTGTAGTAGGTAGCCACCTACTACAATAAGATCGAAGGGATTTGTATACGCTAATGAAAACGGATTTATAGTAATGATAAACGAATTGTCAATAAATACGATCGTTACCCCCTGAACAATGTACCATATTGAATCAGCAAATATCAAAAGATAAAACCTAGCTTCCTACTTATTGATTTATGTCTGTTACCCCTTGTGAACGAGCATAGGTCACTCACAAGAATTTCCCATCCAACTCTGTCCTCCACTCTCCTTTACAGTTGCTATTCATTCTTTTCATGTCCACTTCCAGTTCCCGATGGAATGTGCTCCTTAGTCTTCCACTTTTCCGTTTCTATTCACGATTCCAAGTTAGTGTTTGCTTCGTGATACAGTTTGATGATTTTCGAAATATGTGTCCCATCCACTTCCAGCATCTTTTCCTGATTCCCTCTTCAGATGACAGCTGGTCTTTCCTCTCGCATAGTAGGTCGTTGCTGACGGTATGCGGTCAATGGACATTGAATATCTTGTGTAGACAACTATTTATAAATACTTGTACATTTTCGATGATGGTTGTAGTAGTTCTCCAAATTTCAGCTCTATATAGTAGAACTATCTTGACGTTCGTATTGAAGATTATGACTTTGGCGCTGACTTGAAGACAGTTGTTTTGAGTTCCATATATCTTGTTTAACTGTAGGAATGCTTCCATTATATTACCAATCCTTGCCTTTATGTCTGTATCGGATCCTCATTGTTCATCGATGATAAAACCTAGCTTGTTGATGTGAACAGAGAAACAAAAAGCCTTGACAAACTACGAAAGCTAATTTTCGAGACGTTATTTCAGTTAATTCAAAGCTTGTAAAAAAATTAACATTCATTTTTGTCTCTAGTCTATTCAACAGATCATAAGTTTTCGTTTAATATATGGTTCACTACCATAGCCCTTTTTGTTTCAAAGCTATTGTAATTTAAACATAATATTTTGTACTCTATTTTCTACTCTAATTCCCAGCTCTGGACATAATTGTATTTTCCTAATTATTGTACGTTGTGGTCGGGATAGTCATCTATTTATTCATGTATCTTTTACACTGATCTGAAATCGGGAAATCGCAATTGAGAGTAAATCGATTAGTGTTCCAGTTGAATTGTCTCCTCTCACTCGCGTGCTTGTCAGCCAGTGATAGAATAGTTTTCTTCTCTTTACTCCACTTTTAACTCATGCGTACTAGCCTCAAGGTTAGACCGGTCAGCCTATTGCGTGAAGGTCTTAATCTGGATTAGACAAGTTATCCTCAGCACCAAAAGTGGGTAGACAGATCAACGATGTAACACTTCTAGATGCAATAAATTAATATTTCGGAAAATTATTACACTTTCGAGTAACATAAAGTTACTTTGACAAAGTAATCAAATAATATTTTTTGTGAATCGCTCAACACTCGAATAGATTGTCTAATGATAATGCTTCAACTAAGGATCAGTATTAAATAAAAATGTAGCGTAACAAAATCTCGAACTCACTGACTAATGGCCTATGATGTTGATTCGTAATTCAGCCAATAAGATAGTGACAATAAAGTACAATGTGAAACTCGAAAACATTGAATAATTCTTGTTAAATTTTTTTCCGACTTTATATTGCCAGTTCAGGAATTTCAGATCTCAATGCGAGAATAACATACTTAGTCAATCAGTTCAAATTCAGTGATCCATACTTTTTATTTTTATCAATTTACTAACGATGATTAACTTTTTCGACGACTGATAAGGGATTCTTGCCAGATATAATTAAACTCCATCAATAACAATTTCCCTTCAGAATATAAAAACACTATCTAAGAGTTGTTAATAAGTATAGAAATAATATTAGGCTTGTTTTATTTTACCTTTTAATGTCTTAGCAACTGCTAATAGTTCATCAATATGTTAAGTTGATGACAAAAGCTGTTTCTAATATCAACTAACCTTCAAAATTTACTCAGTTAGATGATAGTTGACATTGTTAAATAATTGGTAATACTCCCCAAGCTTCATATCTATATGACCATATCATTATAAATCACCAGCCTAGATGATCTATGTCGAAATGACTAGAGGCCTACTCGAGTTAGACGGGAATGGTGTGACGAACCAACTAACGTCGAAGACATACCTTGCGGTCAGCATCTTACGTGGATTACCCCATTGACGTATCAAGGTACTATAGGTGCTCTGAAGACTGTACAACACAAAGGACACTATTACAGAGATATATATTAGTTAAAGTAGATACAAGCGAAGGTAAGATCACTGCCGCATGGGCCAGTCGATGGCGTACGATTAACTGATGAGCGTTGGTCATCCTTGACCTTGACGAGGATCGATGATTTGTTCGATATTCAATGACCCAACTGCCGGATAATTCGGCTAGGGCTCAGTTGAATTTCACTGGCCCTATATCATTATCTAATAATATTATTGTATGCTGTAATTTTATGATTCTTATTAACAAAAATATTGTATTGAAAGCAATAAAATTTCAATATATTCAATCCACTATTTCAACTAGGTTTAGTCTTTTTTGTTTTTTGAACCTTATCAGATCCCAGATTGAAAAATAGGTTTAAGAAATTTAACACTACACTCATTTTTGTGCACTTTATAAAACTGATCTATTTTTCAGTATTTACATGGATTAGGGTTACTATGGTACATGTCCACAGTATATACATTTAATATACTTTAGGAAACTTTATAGAGTATAAGGTATGCTCCAGTTTTTAATTAGACAAGACTCTAACAAAGTATCACAAAAGACAAGATTAGTTATCATTGTTAGAAGTTGAAAGGCCTATAATATGAACATATCTCTTATTTCATATCTCTAGTGTTCTATCAATAAAATAATCTGTGAACGATTTTCTTTCTTTTTATATAGATATATACATCAGGCAGTCGCCCTGGCCCAGTGACAATCCCTGCTCGAAGCAGAAGTGCACAGCCTAGTCCAGGTCCAAGTCCAACCATCAGTCCTGTAACATGTTTTCGAGCTTCTGAAAATAATTTGATACCAGGTTCTGGAGGAGAGAAAAATTCATATACAGCAACATCACAAAAAATTAATTTAAATGTTACAAATGTACAACGACGTGGTTCTTCACCTTCTAGAGTTGAACATAACAATGTAAATTCATTTTCTTCTGATGCACCAGAGGTAATAAAAAGTTTAAATTTTTTGTAAAGGTTACTGTAGTTTTTCAACTTTTTTTCTAAAATTTATGATAATCAGAATGATAATGAACAGTCATACCAATTCGATTCAGTAATTGATACAACTAGACAGAACTATAAGGTTGCCATGGTTTCCAGCGTTTAGTTATTTAGTTACTTATCAATAACATATTTAAAATCCAATGGTTAAAAATACCATATACATATATACTACACTTTCGTTCACCGTTGGTAGAGTTACAAATCTTCAGTATGTCCAATAATTTAGTTTCGTGACTAATTATCCTTTCAGTTATGCGATCATTTATCACGTAGAGAAGTATTACACACTTTTTTTACATTTCTATTTTAACGTTTATGCAGAAAATGAAAATACAGTTTAGTACGTATCGGCTTAATTTTAAACCTTTATAACGAAATTAGAAAACCAGGTAATATCTCGATAGTGTAATAAGAAGACAAAGATTATCAGAACTATGTTATATATCATCAGAAGGGGCTTTGTGGATATAATAGTAAATTTTTTAACAGTTGAGATCATGAGTCAATTGAAGCTAGACCACCATGGGAAACCTGGAAGCACTGGATGGCCGTTTCGTTCTACCCCTCAGCAGTGAGCATCCACGATCGAACCTAGGACCTATCAGTCTCGCGCCTGGCGCTTAACCAACTAGACCACTGAGCCGGTATCCAACGGTGTTAATAACTAACTTCAACTAATCCACGAAATTGATCGACACATCCACCATTTTCCTGTGCTTCCAGGTTTTCCATGGTAGTCTAGCTTCAATTGACTCATGATCTCAACTGTTGAAATATTTTATACATATTAGCACAATATATTTCGAACAATCTGATAACACATTATGTACTCGTTACGAACATTTATATATAAAAATAAAAGGTCAACTAGACTAGAAATGGAGGGTAAGAGGAGACAAGGATAATAAAGAAAATAATGTGAAAACAATTTGGAACTTCATCACTTTGGATAATAAGCTAATATTACCAGGATAGGTTTAAGGTAAAAACAAAATGTCTTTGAATACATAAAGGGGGTTTGCATTTTCATATGGCTAAGGCTTCAACAAACCTTAGTATACACACTCTTACACAAAAGCTGAGTTCAAATCAATCTTATGACCTGTTTCAATTATGTGTTTGGCAACAGAGGATGATAGATGTTTATTGGGTCATTCGATTCTATTTGTTTCTGCAACCATTTATGTACATGATCACACCCCCTAATTATGAGATTACAATTACTCCTCCCTATGTATGTGACCACACACACTAAAATTGATAAACATAGGGGAATGTGATGCAATCGCTTTTTCTGTCTTTTAAGTTTTCAATGGAGCTTGAACCTTGTTGTTACCGTGATAATAACATTTGTTGCATAATATATCTTGCTAATGACTGATTTAAGCCTTTATTTCAATAAAATGCTAGTTGAATCACATTTAAATGGTCAGGTAATGTAGACAGACATTTTTTCCGCCAAGGCTATAGTAGGTCTTACTGTACCATGAACTTAACATCTATTTGTGAATTTAAGGAGACAGCTGTTTTCCAATAATGTTATATTTAGCAAACTAACATCATCAATGGCATCATTTGTGCAAATACGATAATCTGATAATCTTCGTCTTCATATTACACTATCGAAATTTATCAAAGGGACTAGTTGCTACAAATAATATCTATTTAATATTATCAAATAAATCACAATACGTGGAAAGTTTCTTACTACACCTCTAGTTCTTTCTGAACATTAAGATGAACTATCTATTTTAGATTTCTTCAAGTCAAATTTTTGTCAGAATGGGTTTTGTGGAGAGTTTTAGAAATTTCACAGGTTGAAATCATGAGTCAGTTGAAGCTAGACCACCATTGAAAACCTGGAAGCACTGGATGGCCGTTTCGTCCTAGTATGGGACTCCTCAGCAGTGCGCATCCACGATCCCGCACCACGCGGGGCTCGAACCCAGGACCTACTGGCTTCGCGCGTGAGCACTTAACCACTAGACCACTGAGCCGGCCGTCCAGTGTTTCCAGGTTTTCATTGGTGGTCTAGCTTCAACTGACTCATGATTTCAACCTGTGAAATTTCAAATTTTTGTATTAAAAGCCTATAGCCTCAGTCAATACCTATTGATCACGATATTATTCATTAGTATTCAATCTTATAATGTTAGATTCCTTGTTAGAGGACTCATTTAACGTTTATTTTAGATTAGATGTAATACAAAATTCTGGATCGTTAAATACAATTAAGGTCTTATTTACTGAACTTTCATTATCTAGTCAATGAGACTGAAATAACGAAATGAATTATATCAATATTTATCTAAATTTGCCTAAAGAGATTTACTTGTTGTTACTGATAATCGAACTAATCATGAGGATTTAAATATACTTTAACATTTTTCTGAATCTCAGTTTTAAACAGTATTTGAAGTTCTGTTACAAATGTTGTATATTCGTCTTTTATTTTATCATATGAGGATTTAGATGTATTGATTAGTGGTGAGACTATAATTTATGGACGAACCTATCAGATATGATATAACAGGTCTTGGATTTTGTCATTGAAATTCCTTGATCCATTTGGCTAAATAGTGTTTCGGCATTTTAGCCTATGTCAGTTTGTGATTAAAGCTCTAAGTCTAATTCCTAACGCTAACCACCAAGTGTAAATTATGATTCTAATTCATTACACTGGTTTATAACCTTCATATAGTCCTAGTTAGTAGGTTGACATTCTCAGGGTTACTTTAGCCTCACTCAAAGGGCATCCACAAATTACAGTATCACCTGATTAGTTTATATTGGAAATAAGTCTTCAGACTGATATTTTTTGTGATAAAATTACTTCCCTTACACCTTAAACTCAATGATTTTAGAAACCTAAATTAGAAATGAAACCTAACTACTCTATAGCGTAGTTAGTTTTTTGTCAAATACTCGTTGTTGTTTTAAACAGAGCAAAAATGACAGGTATTTACATCAAATACATATCAGTAGTATATTTAAAACTTTTAATTTCATTATAAAAATAAAGGAAGACAATGAAGCTCACATTTTACCGTCAGTTAGAGAAATTATACGTCAAGTTGAAGCTATGACACAATCAAATGCTGCCACATCAACTACCGATATATTTACTCTTGGTCTTAATAATGGAACAACAGGGAATCATTCCATTCAAAAAGAAAATAATCAACAATCACAATTATCAAAACAACGTAAAGTAAATTCAACTAATGATAATCAATTTGCACGAACTGGTATACTTAGACAATGTGGTAGTAGTCAACGAACACCAAGTGCACCACAGCTTAGAACAGCTAATTATGGTAATTCACAAAAGTATACACCTATTCAAGCAAAATTCAATGCAGCTGTCGCTTCAAATTCACAAAATACTACAGCACCTCCTGTTCCACCTCATGGAATTGCACGTAATAAAGTAAGTCGAATGATATTGACATTACTTAACTCTAAGTTACTATATATATTTTGTTATTTACTAAAACTGGTTCAATTATGTGACAATAGTTGTTTAGTATATTTAGAAATTTACAACTGTATAGTTCAGTTGTGATCGTGTTTTCTTTTTCTTTTTCTAATATATCCATAAATCATAATATCATAGAACTAAAATAGTTTAAAGGTAGCCATTATGTTATTATTCTTGTGATATCCTGATGGAAACATTAAGCAAAAAGAAAAAGACATTTCCTTGTTATGTTATATATACACAATTGGTTAGTCTGAAAATAAGAATATATATATAGTCCTAGAAACATGTGGGACTAATAATCGATTACAGTAATTAGTAAGAGAATTGTTTAGCTTCGTAAATCTATGCATTATCCACTTAAAGTTACAAATCATGTTTTTTTGTTGTTGTAGCGAAAATAGTAAATAACAGTAGAATGTTATGTACATTGTACATAATTTGTGAAATGCACACTAACATTGTATGTACATTTTAATCTCATAAGATAAATTGGGGACAATAATTATGTGGCTTAATGTTTGTATGTTAATAATCGTATAAGAAGGATCAGTTGATTGATTTAAATAAATTTACAGTAGAAATTACAAGAGAAAAAAATCCACAGTTATTGACATGTGCTAAACTATGATCCCGAATGAATAAATAAATAATATGGGACTAATCAGCAGGGAGCACCCATGACCGCGCGGGATTCGAACCCAGGACCTATCAGTCTCGCACCATGCGCCAAACCAACTAGATCACTGAGCCGGGATCCAACGGTGTTAATGTCAAACTTCAACCAACTCCATACTAGAACGAAACGGCCGTCCAGTACTTTCACGTTTTCCATGGTGTTCTAGCTTCAATTGACTCATGATTTCAACCAGTGAAATTTCTAAAATCTCCACAAAACCCATTCTGATAATAATCATCTGCTCACTAGTGACTGACTTCAAGAGACACTCCAGGAGTTCAGGTGAGAAGCCGTGACCGGTGGAGTTCAACCAGGTCTGTTGTGAGACATCAACTCACTGGAGAAAATGGTATACGGTGGCGCAACTTCGTGGATTGGTTGAAGTTAGACATTAACACTGTTGAATGCCGGCCGGCTCAGTGGTCTAGTTGGGTAAGCGCCTTGCGCGAGACTGATATGTCCTGTGCTCGATCGTGGATGCTCACTGCTGAGGAGTCCCCTACTGGGACGAAACGGCCATCCAGTGCTTGCAGGTTTTCTATGGTGGTCTAGCTTCAATTGACTCATGATTTCAACCAGTGAAATTTCTAAAATCTCCATAAAACCCCTTCTGAAAATAAATAACTATACTTCCTGAGTTCGAATCTCATGGAACTGGATCATGGATACTCACTGCTGAGGAGTCCTACACTAGGACGAAACCGTCGTTCAGTGCTTTCAGGTTTTCCATGATGACCTAGCTTCAATGAACTCATGAATTCAACTATTAAAAAAATTACTATAATATCCATATATGGAAAATTTGTGATGAAATTTTCTGTAGGGATTGTAGATTATGCTTAAAATACTTTTGCTATGATAATTTAACAAGGAGCATTATTACTTCAAAAGAAATACTTAATATTTGATTGGTTTTTGGAGTAAGTCGACAAGAAACCTTGAACCTAGATTTCGTAACATTTGACACTCATCATCAAGATATACTTGTATTTTCGAGGGAACTGGGACTCTATGGTGGATTCGATTCTATGTCATCCAGATATATTCATCCATCACCTTATGTCTCAAGATTGTGCACACGATAGTGAGTCACCTAAACTAGTAGTCAAATTGCAACTCAGTGATCAATCAACTATAAATAATTTTAAGAGGTATTAGTGGATTAATTTAGGTCATCCAAAAGAGAACACTTGTGTGTATTTTAAAAGTTACATCGACATTGGAAACCTAGAAGCACTGGACTCTTCAGAAGTACGCATCTATGAGTCCTCACACGGGGATCGAACTCAGGACCTTCGGTTTCATGCGCCAACGCGTACCCTCTATATCACTGACCCGGGATATGGTATGAAAGCTTTGCTTCATCACAGCGCTGCATTTACTCAACAAGCAGACTGTTGAATATAATTCATCATTTTATAAGCTCTAATATATGCAATACATTTATTATTAGACACTTCTTTCAGTGTAAATGACTCACTTTAGTGTTGTTCAAACTGTTGATTGCTTCATATATTTTATTAAAGTGATACTGTAAGGGTGATGTGAAAGGTTTAAGAACAAAATCCGCTTCTAAACACTTCACTTTCTGTGTACCAAGTAAGCTTAAAGATTATTCACAGTGCCTTCTTGGTAACAGCTTCATATAAGTTCAGTGGATTTTGTCATTTGTCCAATCGGGAAGCTACACGTCAAGATTTTGGAATGTTCTCCCGAAAAGATATCTAGATGTTATGTCTTCGGCTCTTTCTGAGCTTCTTAGAGCTTCCTACAGTTCACCCGGAGTCGTCTTTACAAATTGTAATTCTATTAGGAAGTTTTTGGACAACACACAATATTTAATTTATTTCACGGTAGTATATCAATACATTTAAGTAGTCTAAAACAGATTTCAGTAACTTTTTTTAGCTAACAGTCAAGAGTTAACAAAATTTCAAAGAGAATCGAAGTCTAAGAGATTTATTTTAACTTCTATTCATAACATTTATTCAGTGTACCCTGTAAGAAAATTTATTAAATCTGAAGAAAACAATTGACTAGCACTTGGCAATTTTCAAGAATTATTTAATTGCATTCATCTCAATTCTAAAGTTGTAGATTGAGATCATGAACTGATTGATGTTAGACCACCATTGAAAACCTGGAAGCACTGGACGGTCGTTTCGTCCTATTGTGGGACTCCTCAGCAGTGCGCGTCCACGATCCCGCTTGCATTGCTGAGGAGTTTTCAATGGGGGTCTAATATCAATCAGTTCACGATCTCAATCAAAAATGAAATTCCTTTTTCTCTTCTATCAGCTGTTATTACTTTTTGTTTATCATGAAAAATAAATAAACACCAACTGTTATTTACTTTTGTTTAACACATAAAATATTCAACTTCTAAATGTATATTTTAATGTTTGTTGATGAAAGTAATTTTGGTCAAATGGAATGATTTTCAATAAACAATAAAATGCAATACAAATTTGTTATTTCATTTTTAAGAAAGCTTTTTAGTAAACACTCCATTAAAGCAGATATTATATATGAATTAACTAAAGTAATAGGCATACATTTTACTATTCAGTGTTTGTGTATTACTACCTATAATGAACCAAATATGTTAGTATTGTAGTGGTATTTCTTCTAATCATACAATCCTTGAAAATGAATATGAGATAACTGAGGAAATTCATATTTAACATATAACATGGAAAGAAGGTCAGCAATAGTGAACACGGCAATAATCGATCGGTATGGTGGAGTTCGGCCATACAGGCATGATCGCCCCATGTAATCTTTTGTTTTTATGCTGAATATATTATTCTCTGCCTAGAACAAAATATGTTCTTCAGAATTATTAGACGCTTTATTTCTGATTATCATGATAGGAAAAGTCAGTGTAGACTATGATGTGACTTCCACGTAAGATCTTATAGATTAGGTAGTCACGTTGTGACATATCTACAATTTTGGGATTAAACTTATTATCATAGTAGCAAAGATAAATGTATTACTAAAGAAGCAGACCATAATTCTGCAGTATAACGTGTAATGATATAGACTATTCAAAATATGAACAGTGAAGGCGAGTGAATATTTTTTCACTATTGTATATCCAAATGGAGTATGTGTAATATTGTTATCATAAAGCAATTAAGACATACGTTTAGATAAAAAGAATTCAGACTAAATCTGAATAGTTTGCACCGATCGAAATATGTGCGTATTGCTGAGGAGTTCCACAATAGGATGAAACGCCTTTCCATTGATTCCAGGTTGTCCATGGTAGTCTAGGTTCAACTGACTAATGATCTCAACTATTAAAGTTGCAATATGTGTTTATTTTGTTGAAAATGATAAAACGTTTCACTATCATTAACAAATAATGCGGCATCATGTTTGATTTTCAATACTAAATCAAATTATTTGTTAATACGGATATGTAGTGATTAAAATTGCATACGTTAATTGACATGTATTAATAGTAATTAATGTGATTATCTTGTTACTTAGGGATTCGTATACTCGATCTTGTATCCCATCGTGTGAGAGCTAATTATAAACTACTCAGTCTCTTAAAATCGAACTAAGTGAATAATAATTCACATCTTTTGCCTAGTGGATGAAAGTCTTTCCCAGATGAGTATTAAGAAGTTTGTCTCGGTTCATAAATCTACACCAATAAATACTGTTAACTTTTAGACCTTCAGGTCTAATAATGATTTAATTATCTAACGACTAAGTAATAATCTCATGACTATTTATCAGTGACTTTAAAAGAATTACCGAATTTCAACTTATGTCTGTGTCTAGTAGAGCTTAATGACTTCAAAAGTGATATAATTTCAAAGATGCAGTTAATTGAGAGTCTTGACATTTTATGATCTAATACTAGGTAAAGCAAGTTATCAGTGTATACTAAATTTCAATGGGTTTCCCGCGGAATGTGTTGTTTCTTATCTGTACCTGACTGATTTATTCAATTAATATAGACATTACTTGGACCGGAATTGTGAAAAATCCTATTTCTATACTTTTCTCAGTTTTATCTTCTAGAATATTCATACACTCGACCTATAAATAAATGACCAGTTTAATTCTTTGGCATGTATTACATTCTTATTCTACATTTGAATGTTTAACCCTACTTTTTCCTGAATAAAGTCCTGAGGTGAACATCAATTCTGAGATGCAGATACATCCAGTTGATGAGTCCCAAACAGGATAAAACGCGTGTCCTGGATTTCGTTGCTAGCCATCATCTATCTTTAAGCAAAAATGGATAGTGGCTAGCAGTGAAATCCAGGATTCGCGTTTCATCGTATTTGGGACTCGTCAAGTGGATGTACTTGCATCTCAGAATTGATGTTCACTCTAGAACTCGAATCCATTACCGTTCACCTCAAATGCCATCGCGTTATTCACTTAACCACTGAGTCCTGATAATCACTTACTTGTGCAAGTGGCAATATCGAGGCAATACACACAGTATACACATATGTCAATAAGTGACTGACCAATGGTAGTCCTAAATAACAATGGGAAAATCCAAACAAACAATGCAAAAAATGAATTATGTATACTTATACTGCATTTTTAATGACTGAAAGAATATAAACAATTAAATCCACTAAACAATTGAATTCCTATTATTCTACCACGTTGATTGTTCCTAGTTTATTCACATTTCTAACTAGAAAAAAATGGCATAAGAATTTGTTCTGTTTAATGGAGAAAAATGGACATGCACAAATCTATCCCATTCACAAATTTTTTTTATATATTTACTTGTAAACGATACACACAATATAATAGATTGCCTCAATGTAATACAATTCCTTATACAAAATATAATTATCTATTAGATTATATACATCTATCATGGATAACTTCTAGTATTAAGTACATGATCAGTCTTCTCAATAACAGATGAGGAGTTCCACAATACAACGAAACGGCCGTCCATTACTTCCAGGTTATCCATAGTTATCGAGCTTCAATTAAGTTATGATCTCAAATACTAAAATCACTACAATCTCAACAAAACTCCTTCTGAAACAAATGAATCGTTAATTATTATTTCTATTAATCCTATGAATATCGATTATTGTCATTATATAATTGAATAATTCAATAAATTCCGCACCCCGCGAGATTCAAACTCAGGATCTATCAGTCCCGCTCCAGCACAGTGGTCTAGTTGGTTAAGCGCCTGGCGCGAGACTGACAGGTCCTGGGTTCGAGTCTCGCGAGATGTGGGATCGTGGATGCGCGCTGCTGAGGAGTCCCATTCTAGGACAAAACGGCCGTCTAGTGCTTCCAGGTTTTCTATGGTGATCTAGCTTCAATTGACTCATGATTTCAATCAGTGAAAATTAAATAAATTTTAATGATTAATATAATAGAATTTTTGTAATGAACTAATAATTTATTTTGTTTTATTAATTTTCCTTTGATATTTTAAGCCAATTATTGGATCATTTACCAGAAGAATTGAACCATTAACTAATGATTCAAATAAACAAACAGATTTTACAAATGTAAGTTAAATTTTTAAACATAAATATAAGGTATAAACAAACTACATTTTTGTTCAGTTACTTAGTCAATCAGTCAGCTATAACGTAAGACCGGGCATATATGTGCATCGGTCCAAGTTGCCATACCTCATTACCACAACAAGATGAATAACGAATTCATAGAAGTAGTTAATTCAGTGGTGGTAATATATTAAAGAAAGATTGCATATAATGACATAGTACGGAAAAAAAAGAACTAGTTCATAGAAAGAATGATATAAAGCGATGTTAATCTCATAGTTTAAGGGAAGACAAAGAGTGTATACACCTACGCCATCGTGATCGATTCCGAGCAATGTTACCAAGAGTCTCCAACCGTTGGTCACGATAGTCACGAGAACCCCGACAAAGTAATCTGCATCTATCAACATGGCTCAGTCTAGAAGATAGTGACTTCAATCACTGATGCCATGTTTTGGTTTGGCCGTACCTAACTTTCTTCCAACCATCTCCAATACCGGATAGCATTGCACGTCGTGGTAATCGGTGTTCAGGCATACGTAACACGTTTCGTTCTAGTATAAGAATCTTCAGCATACGCACCCACGATCCCTCATGCTGGACTCGAACACAAGACCTTCAGTATCGTGCGCAAACGCTTAATCTCTACCTGATATCTAGCTTAGATCGACCAGTGAATTCAACCTTGAAAATACTACGAACTCCAAAAATCCTCCATACTGATAACAATCATGTGCTCACTAGTGACTAGCTTCAAGATGGATTTCCTAGAGTTCTAGTGGGATGCCGTGACCAGTGGAGTCCAATCTGTGTCAAGTGAAGACAGTTATCAACCTCAAACAATAGATGAAGTGTGGCGGAAGATCGTGGATCGATTAAAGTTAGACATTAACAACTTTAGGTCACGGCTCAGTGGTCTAGAGGCTAAGCGTTTGCTAGGAAGTTCCTAGTTTAGAGTCCTATGTTCGAGATCGTGGATGCGCACCACTGTGGAGTCTCATACTAGAACGAAACGGTCATCCAGTGCTTATAGGCTTTCGATGGTGGTCTAGCTTATATCGACTCATGAATTCAACCATTGAAAAATTGTATTTCTATTATTATCAAATGCCTTATTTAAATCAACTAGTTCTTTTTTATGAACTATTAACTGAAAAATCGAACTTTATAAATCATAGTAAAAGTCAATAATCTAAAGTCATTTCGAACAAGTGCACATAAGTAAACAACATTTAGTAAAATGAAATTTAAGGTAATTTTCTACACCATTTATCTCATAATATTCATTCCTAACACAAACATATGTTTGACTTACAATATTCTTTGCAAAGTTTGTATAATGGGACCGATTTTAGTTAGACAATTTCTAAGAACCAGTAAACACTAGGCAGATTTTTCGTACTATTATGAAACTCCTCTTCAGTACGCATCCGGGTTCCCAACGAAGATCCAGATCCAGAAGTTCTAGCTTAGTTCATCAATATCGAGTGTTAGGTGGTTGTCCACCTCAAGCAATGGAAAATTGTAAAGTAATATTGAGAACTTATTGACGTTAGATATACTCACCACTGAATACCGTCTTATTAGTTTACAGATCAACCATCTGTTCTCGATATCGAAGGTGTTGCGTTCAATACCCTGTGGTAGAATAGTAGACGTTCACTAATAAAACATCTTTCACTTGGATAGGAGCATCTCAATGTCTCCTGATTGTCAATGATTATCTAATTCAGATAAGTTCATGAAGTAGACTATAAAAATTCAACAAATTATGTCAGTATCTAATTGCTAATTATAGTGCTCTTCCCTTATTTATTTCTTCACAAAATACTTTAAGTTCACTCATAGATCATATTCAAATTACTGCATATAAGTGAATTATTACGCAATTAGAATATGTGAATAACACTTACAATGTAATTTATTTGATCAACTTATTTTTTTTGGCTATTCCATAGGTAACTAGTGCACCGAAAAAGTCTGAACTATTAAGCCATCTACCTACGGATTATCAAAAGGTATAAATTAATATGAAAATTTGAATAGATTATTTCAGCTACTTTAATGTATAATGTGTAACATTGAATGTTTGGTTAGACATAATACAATTTACAACCAACAATAACATTGTATGGAGCCAATCAGTTAATGTTTGTACGGTGAAAATATTACAATCACTTTAGTACAGCTCTTGAGCTCTATATTTGAAAGAGCTAATTAGGAATATTATTATTTAGCAAGATTTTTGAATATTGCTGAAAGATTTACAAATTCCATTGTCCTCTATATCTACGGTCTAAATAGATCGACTGAATCACTAGTAGTAATCGATGATCAATCAATAAAAAGTTAGGAATTACTAAGTTGATCAATTATTTGTCCTCATTGAGTTCTACCGATCAAGTTGCAAAGTTACCGCTAGTCTTGTAGTGAAGGAGAACATAGGTGAAGACAACCGATTATATTTAACATAAAATTGCAGAGTTAATTGATAAAAACAGAAAAACCATACTCCTATACTTCATTTGCAAAATGTTCATTAATTGTCTCAAACTTCATTGTTCCTTCATTTCCATACAAATTGCTTTCTGTTCCCATTCTTACCTCCTCGATCTTCTATTCCTGACTAGCGTTATATACTACTTATGTCGACATACGCAGCACACATCACAGTCTAAATGGCTCAACATCACATACACCAAACTTTAGAGCTAGATTATTTGAGACAACATCAATAGAAGATAATAATGATAATACATGGTTTAAAGTATAGACTCTATGTTGAATCAATATTTTCATCATTTCTCTTACTCTTACAATATCTTTAAAACATACTTAAACAGACTTACTAATTTGCTCACTACTTATCCCAGCGATCATTTATTATGAACATAATTGTATTTTAGTATAGAGTTGTGGAGATTATTAAGTTTTTGATTGAGGGAGTTCTCGGTGTACTGGTGAGAAGCCGTAACTAGTGGAGCTAATCCGTGTCGAGTAGAGACAGGTACAATGGAAGATGGCCGTGCAATTTCGTGAATTGGTTGAGACTAGACATTAAAACCGTTGGATGCCGACTCAGTGGTCTAGATGTTAGGCGTTCGTGCGCAAGACTGAATGCCTTGGGTTGGAATCCCGCGAGAGGGATCGTGGATGCTCACTGCTGAGAAGTTCCACAACGGGACGAAACAGCCGTTCAGTGCTTTCAGGTTTTCACTGGTGATCTAACATCAATCAGTTCATGATCTCAATTATTGTATTTTGATACATTACAAATCCAATCAAATCTTTTAAATACCATAATTTCTTTATTCTATATATTCTATTCATTCATTTTACTTATTAGTTACGTGAAGCATTTATTGAACAAAGAAGAGAAATTCAACGTCTTCGTAAACAAATAGCAGAAAAAGATTTACAAATTGCCCAATTAGAAGGTGATATACGATTATATGAACCATGGCGTTAAATGACAAGTTAAAAAAAAATAAGGCTTTAATTATTGGTAAAATGAAAAAAAAGAAAAGGGAAAAAGAAAAACGAAAACAAACAAACCACCATTTTCTTTTACATTACGATTCTTCTTCTTGGTATTAATCAAAACGTGCCTCTTTTTTTTCCGAAATTCTTTTTTGTTTATGGATTATTATGCATTGAAAACCAATAGAATCATATATATATATATATATATATATATATATATATATATATATATATATATATATGTTCGGATTATTCTATGCAACATTATTTAATATCATTTAGGCATTCAATACTACTACTAACACTACTGATAATAATATTATAGTAACTAACAATGATGTATGTGTGCGATGCATTTCTACTCAACATGTTTATTATTATTAACTTTATACCTTGTCTACAAATTATCTTTACACATTATTATTATGATGATTTGAAGTGAACTGGATGGAAATAAAGTAGTATCTTTCTTTTTATATGATATGTTGTCTAATTGTAATATGCAATCTTATTTATGTTAATATCAATTAGTTAATCTTGTTATAATACGTTGTACGTGTATACTGTGCATACTTTCATTTCTTTTCCAAACATGATTGTTGTTCCTTTTTGTTTGTTTGTTAATCTTTATTTCTCTCTCTTTAACCGTCTCCCTCTCTCTCTCTGTGTCTCTCTCTTATTATTGGTGTCATTAGAAATATGTTATAATCAGAAAGAAAAAGTAAATAGACAACTATGATTTGGATTTATTAATTGATGTTTGTATTAATTATGTGGGTTTTTGATTGAGATCATGAACCGATTGATGTTAGACCACCACCTTTCGAAACCTGGAAGCACTGGACGGCCGTTTCGTCCTGTTGTGGGACTCCTCATCAGCGCGCATCCACGCATCCCGGGATTCGAACCCAGGGCCTTCGATTTTGCATGCGAATGCTTAACCTACTGGACCACTGAGCCGGCATCTAATGGTGATAGTGTCTAGCATCAACCAATCCACGAAATTGCGCGACCGCCTTCTATTGTACTGAGGCAGATAACTGTCTCTACCCAACAAGGATTAGCTCCACTGGTCACGGCTTCTAACTAGAACTCCGAGAATTCCCTCAGGAAGCTAGTCACTAGTGAGCACATGTTGATTACTAGTATAGGGGTTGTGGAGATTATTATGTGGTTTTTATTATTATTAATGATTATGATTGTAAAGTCTGAAGGTTTTAAGTCTAATTGGACAACTATTTCGTTCCAGTATGATTTTGCTTAATGTTCTAAGTGATAAGTCGTGTAGGTTGAACGGTATATACGAATCCTAAGCTATTCCCGTAACCCGCAGACTAGAACTACCCAGCGACTTGAACTCCAGAAAGAAGACACAAGTATGAGAGAAAACAATTTATCCCAAGGTTCCATTTTAGTACAGAAAATTAAGGGTATTTATAGATGTTGGCGTCTGTTAAATCAACATCATATTTCAGCCAATCCGTCAACGTCATATTATGCTACCGACTAATGGTAGCACGCCACGCTGGGATTCTCGAACGTTCCATCATACTCTGATTGGCTAGGGCCCTTCGGCTTCTTTTTGGGCCTCTGGAGGCTCCGTTGAAGTTCTCCGGAAGCCGACCCAACACTAAAATTATCGTGTATAACGAGGGCTTTTAATGTGGCTCATGATTATGCCAAGAAATGGAGACAGACATGAGAAAAATAAACAAAAATAGGATAGAATTAGAAAGGAAGGCCCCGGACAGAGTGTGTTGGAGAATGCTAGTCGGCGGCCTATGCTCCACTCGGAGTAATAGGCGTAAGTAAGTAAGTAAGTGAGTAAGCAAGTAAGTAAGTAAGTGTAGCTCATGAGTTCACAGTTAGAAAAGTAATTTAGATAAATCCAGAACAATAATTAATGCAGAATAATATGAATTCATGGTATGTTTCGTGGTTATTCACCTGCAACTTACAATCATATATGTATTGAAAGACATGCTATAATGTAAAACAATTAAGATTGATGACGAAAAGAATTAGAATGACAAAAGTTATCAATAATAACTATATGTATGTATATATATTGGTTGAAGGTTATTTGGAGATGAGGTTCAAAAACACAGCGGGACAGGAGATGCAATAATTAAATGAGGTCAAGAGACAGATAAGATAATTTTAGACGTTGTAAAGCGTTTATATAACATTACTAGGATTAGAAATTGATAAAATGGGTTACATAATAACTCAACAGGATTTGAAAATTTTACATAAGGTAAGGGATTTAAGTAAATTGAAACTTTTGAGTGAAAGGATGGTTTTAGTGAACATGGAATAAGAATTAGTTTAGCGAAGACGATATAACAAAATAAACACTAATAAAATAATGATAATGACTAGAATAATTTACCAAGGTAGGAATAAGTCCATTTAATACTGACTCCTTCTGGATACATAAACAAGTTTTGAGTATTTTTATTACTATGGTTTCAGCAAACTGAAGAGACTCTGCATTTTCTTGTCTGCTAATACTTTTGAAGGCTTGTGGAATGTCAGTGGTATGCCTGGTGTCAACTAAATATCGGGCTATTACACTGTTTAAAGCCGTCGCGCCTCTCAGTCTTAAGTTATTAGAGACGTGCTCGGGAATTGGGACATATACTATTCTTTCTAGTCTTTGAATGCATGTGATTTATCACGTACATGAAGTCTCCAAGTAAGACCGAACATATGACCAGTGTTCCATAATTGTAGATGACTGTACACTTGATCCCATTTCATGATAAATATATATCCTTGATCACGGGAATCATCAATGAATTACATTTGTACTACTGAAAGAGCAATCTAATGAGGCCAAAAAATAAAAAGATGTGCACTGCTGATGAGTTTCATACTAGGACGAAACAGGCATCATATGCTTTCAGGTTTTTCATGGTGGTTTAGCCTTAATTGACTCATGAATTCAACTATTAAATTACTATAATATTCATAATGCATGTCCAATCCGCTTCCAAAGTCTCCTGATTACCTCAGATGGAAGTTGGTTTGTTCTCTCTCACCGTAGGCTGTTGCTGATGGTATCCGACTAATGGATATTGGATATCTCGCGTAGACAACTATTTATAAATACTTGTACTATTTTGATGATGGTCGTTGTAGTTGTGGAAGTTTCATCTCCATACAATAGAACTGACTGTTTTGACGTTCGTGTTGAAGATTGTGACTTTGATATTGATTGATAGTGGTTTTATATTCCATATTTTCTTCAATTGTAGGAATGCAGACCTAAAGATATGGCCTTTTGAAAATAAATCTTTGGATTTAACCACTTTCAAACATGAATGTGAACAAATGACAGCGTGATTATTACAGTTCATTGCTATCAAAATAGTAATTTTCAAATAAACTACTAGGGTCAGGTTTAAAGAAAGGAAAATGTGATTAGAATTTTTTCACTAACACGATGAAGGGAGTAAATAATAAATCTTTATCACAGTTATTTTAATGTTATTCAATGAATTTCATTTAGATGGGTTAAGAACATATAAACAGTATATCGGATAGCATTACAGTTACCAATGATAGAGGATCTATTAGCGACAATTAAATGGCTTTTATAGGCTTCGTTGTAAATAAGCACCTCATAATATACTTCAAGAGACAACAGTTTCAAGGAAATATATATTCTGTTATTAAAGCGGTACACTTTAATATTATCTTAGTAATTTTATTAACAGGTTAATTAAAAATGCAGTCAGAATAGAAATTGAGAATACACACCAAGTATTCGGTTTAAAAACTCACTTATCCAGTCGTGTGCAAATCCAACCTCAATATAAGGTGACTAATTTCATTTGCCTGAAATGCATAACTGTATCACATTTGACATGATCAAACTCCACAGGTCATATATTCTTACCAGAACTCTTGGGATTTCATTTCTGCTGAGGAGTCTCATACTATAACGAAACATTAATCCAGTGTTTCCTGGCTTTCAGCACTTATCTAACCTTTTTCACATTTAATACTTCAGGTTTCGGATTATCCAGATTCGCAAGAGTTCAATTTAAAAAGAATCAAAAAATGAGTTATTTAATGACATGATACAGTTGGCAAAACTATCATTTATGGACGAACCAATCAGGTATAATATAACAGATCTTAAATTTTAACTTGGAATTCATTCATCCATTTGATTAAATAGTGTTTTGGCATTATAACTGATGTCAATTCGTGATGAAAACCCTTAATCTAATTCCTAACCTTAACCATCAACTGTAAATCATAATTCGAATTCCTTACACTAATTTATAACCCTCATTTTATTCTAGTTATTAGGTGAACACTCTCAAGGTCACTTTAGCATCGCTCAATGAACGTTCATAAATTATAGTTTCACCTATCATTTCTTTTTTATATTAATCATCCAATCTCATCAAGTGTATCAATGTTAAAAATCGATAAAAAAAATTATTCACCCCAGTACTATAACAACAACGATTTCATTCTAGATATTAATTTCAACATTAGACTTGATAGTTTCAAATAAATTAAGCATTGGGTAAACAATTAATTTTTTGTTATATCCTAATAATATGATGACGAACTTGCCGAATTGTACTCCCTATATAACTGGCTCCACAGGAGCAGTTGAACCGATAGATACACATGAACTTGACGAATTCAGGCAATCTGTCTTTATTGACCGTTCTTGTTGTGGGGTGGTTGTAGAAGACAGCATTTAATCTGGTTGCATCAAATGTTTTTTGTACCGCTTTTCTTAGTCTCTGCGTCACAATTTCTTCAGTAGTGTCATTTATGAATTGTAATTTTATGAACAATACTTTCTTAAGAATGGTAGGCATCTTTGTCCTTCTTTTCATCTCCTTCATGTGTTTGTCGATGAATTTCATTGGGTACCCATTCTTACTAAGTTACGAATATTAACCAATTCATCTACTATAGTGTCATTCGAACAAATCATTCTAGCACGATGAGTCGGGATATTTATCAAGTTCCTTTTGTATCTGATTGATACAGCACTTTAGAAATGAATGTATTGTCCTGTTGCAAACTTTCTGTGTAACCCTCTTTTTAAAGCCAGTTATATAGGGCATACAATTCAGCAAGTTCATCATCGTATAACAGAGCACCATCCGTCGTGGTTGAGCAAAGGACAGGTAAGAGTGATTAAGAGTTTTATTCTTGCTTACTTGGTTGACACAGGTCATCAAGTTGAACTGAATAAAGCTTTTAAAGTTATCTACCATATTTCACCGAATTTGCCACATGGCCTTTTGCATATTTCTGAAGCCATCGCAATCCATGTTCAAAAACCTAACCTTTGCATCCAAAACAAATTTATATCCTAATAAGTAGAAAAATTATATTTCTGACGCTTCGTTACTTAATTTCAGCCACTTCTTCAGAGTAAATAAATAACCCGAAAAAAAGTTAACTACTAACTATTTCATTAGATTAAAATAACATCCCGATTGAATACAAAATATCTCTTTTAACCTAAATTGTAAAGTTCATGCTTTACTATAGTTTACTATGTACATTCTATTTTTCTGCTTACATATTCTTTATTGAGTTCAAATCCTTCGTATACATCAATATTAGAAGGTATTTTCACCGAACAAAAAACAACAACAATGAACAATTCTACCGATTTCAAATTACTAGTGTTATGTTACTTTGTTTTGTATTTAGATGTTACATTTCAGGTCATACAAAACACTACTACTATTACTACTACTACT